GAAAACGCTGCATTGTTCCTCACTGCAACCGCAGTGCGTACTAAATCATGTTCACCCTGCACTATAAGCACAAAACCAGTTGCATTATAATCACTTAATACATTCAGCATTACAAAAAAAAAACAACCAAGTGGAGTATCTTTAAATGACTTCAGATACTATTACATCTACCTATGGGCTGAAGCAACATGTTTCTGCAAACAAACTGGGCAATTCTGTAAATAAAATAGCTTAGAATTCAGATAAAATCTTTATTACCAGCCATTCTCAGCCCTTTTTAAACACCACATTCTTTAAGTGCATTATCAATGGACATCTTCCCAAGCTGGATGGGAATTATTGGCTGATATGTAATCACCGGTGTTAGCCTCATAATTGCACTTCCAAAAGGTTCTTTCATTGAGAGAATGTGGTTTTATTTAATATAAATGCTAATACGGTTACAAGAGCAACGTTCATTTCTAAACGTTAAAAATCGACAAGAGGAGATGCAGTCACCCTGTAAGTCTGAACTTATTTAACTGGTGTGTTTGTGATGATACTACATCATTAAAAGTCACAGGTCCTTAGTTTTGGATTGTGGACAAACAGTGAGCAAACTGCCAAGTCAGTGCAAAATAAATCTGATAGGCACGTGGGCACTCTGCCCAGCATGTGCGATCAGGCACAGTGTGAATAAAAGGCTGTCAGTAGCAATTTTTTTCAATGCTTTAGCACCATCAGGTGGACATTTCAGATACAGGCAAATTAAATAATCCTTTCATTTATATAGTGCTCGTTATCAAAACGAATATCAAGATACTTAATATATAAGAGTAGACCAACCTACTTCATCTAGCACTTAAGCCAACGTGACCACGTGGTTGACTAGTAGCAGTTATTGCGTACCAGCAGCCCCACTTGACAGCAAATCACACAGAGCAGGAACCTGCTTCACCAATTAAATTTAGTTTGAACCTTACGAAGGCCAAATTGTACAAACCAGAGTGGTAAACAGCCAGGACACTGTGGATAGCACTCCTACGCTTTTACAGTAAAACCAAGTGGTAAGGTACTTGGGTTGAAAATTCATCCTAAGCAATCTATTCACTAAAGAACCGAAAAAGTACCAATATATTCACCTATTCAACTGATCTTACACTAGTTTCTTGTTTATTTGTGAACAAAGAATGTACAGCTTCACATATCAAATCTTAAATGAAAATGAAGCATTCAATAAAGCACTGAGTTTATTAAGTATTAACAATTCAAAGTCACCTAAACTACTTTACAGAGGATCACTGATAAGCACTTTAAAGTCCAAATACATTTCAAACCTTTTTTTGTTTTAAATTACCGTATAACTGAACAATGATTCATGGTTACCCAGGATTAAGGGGATCCGTCTTCTTAAAAAGCATTCATGTTAATGTAGTTTAATGGTTCTAGAATTGGCTGCTGCTGTTCACTTACAAGCTCACTTATCTGCAAAAACGCTGTATGAGCATTTTGCAGTCTGGATTTAAATCAATGCATAGTACAGAATCAGCTCTTGTTAGTAATGATCTACAGTTATCTGCAGTCTGTTTACGGCAGGATTCAGTGCTGATGTTGGAAATGTTGATCATACCATCTTCTTGAACAGGAATGAATGGAGAGCGATGCTGGTATTGCTGCTTTGTTAAGTTTGATTCTTTTCTGTTAGGAATCAATTTGGTGAAATTGTCATTATACCTCCTCAACTAAGCTGGACACATCCGATATCCTACAGGGCACTGCTCTTGGTACGATTTTTAGTGTCTGTGATTCTTCACAGGTATGATATCAGCTTGCATTTCTATGTTGATGACGTCCAGATTTATGTCCAGACAGTAATCGGAAATTGCTGATTGACCTGCCTTATCCACTCTGTAAACCTTGCTTTTGCTGTGGTAAAGTATGTCCTGGAATCAGTGCAGCTTCTCAGGTGAGGAATCCGGGAACATGAGCACATATCGCCTCATTTAGCTGGCTCTCCTTGTTTTGTTGCTATATCAGTGAACCGTCAACACCCTACACATGGTTTGAGCTCTTCAGATTCAGGCCTTATTCCTGTTCCCAGTATCAGGCTTCTAATACTCAGAGATCCTGGGAGACTGTTTTCTGTTTAGTTGCTGCAAGACTGTGGAATGATCTCCAAGTCCGTATCAGATCTTGTTAGTCAGTAGCCATCTCTTTCGATTGATGATGAGATGAGATGATGTTCCATGAAAGCTCCTATATAAAGGTTATTAATGAAACTGTCCACAAAAAAAAATTTATACAACAGAAAATACCAGTAGCCTTTTATGTCTTTACACTAGTACTGTCAGCACTTTGTTCAACTGGAATAAATAAAACACATCTCAGTAAGAACAAATCTCCACTGTATTCCAGTGTTTTCCAATCCTGGTCCTAAAATACCTTCTTCTCTTCTGTTTTTCCCAAGATCAGGTCTATCTTTACTCAAAAAGAGGTCCAATAAGCTGAATTTGTTTTATTTATACAGTTTCTGCTTTTACATGGAAAGCTAGGAAAGGGTGGGAAATGAACATGAACTCCGTGCCAGATGCTGGGTTTCTGAAATGCTCTCATTAGCACCATTTCAAACACTCATTAGAGGAATGTTTGCCGGTGCCATTCTCACCTGTTTCTGTAGATCATTAATTTACAATCAATTAGTAGTTATTTAGGCAACTGAGAAGCAAGACTAAACTAAGTTGACAGAGCTCTGTTTATTACATTTCTTGGAAATAGTACACATATCTTTTCTGAAACCAGGACCTGAGTGTGGAAAAGTTCAAATCAAGCCATTGGTTAAATGGCAAGTTCAATCTTTTTAATTAATTAAGAGCGGTGACGGAAAACGATCCAAGATGGAATCATATTCCAGAAAGCAAACTAGGAAGGACGGAAATTAGGCCTAAAGAGAAGTTGAATGAGATGGCTTCCATTCAAGGACATGGAAATGGTAAAGTATGGACAGAAACAGTATAAAGAGAACAGATTTGTCCCCAGAATGTATTGGCCCAAACGGCTTTAAAATCAGTTCAAAAAGATATAAGGATAAAGAAAGCACTTTAGAAAAGGTCTAAAAAACAGGGTGCAGTTAAAGCAAAGGAGTATAACAAACTGCAAGCCTGGGTGGAAAATTACATTCTGAAGATATGAGACAGCTAGAAAGGAACAATGCTATAGAGTACCTTTTTTATCCAGTTTTACAAAAAAAAATACAGTAAAGAATTAAATCAAATCTATCTTGGATAATTATGGGGAAGCTTCTAGTTGATGAAATGGAAATGATTGATGTATTATATTAATATTTCACTCAGATGTTTACTGAAATCAATAATGCAGTATACCACGGGCTGAGGAAGTACAAATTCTGTAATAAACAGTATAAGCATAGAAAAGTACTACAGGTACTTGAAGCACTGAAGATAAATCTCTGAGGCCTGATGTCTTTCTACGGGTTGTACTTAAGGAAATCTGAGATTATTTTCACATCCATAAACCATCAACAAACCTCTTCCAACAGTTACTCAAGACAAGGACTGCATCTACAGACTGAAAAATTGCAAACGTCTCTGTCCATAAAACAGGAATGTGAAACAGAACCACAAAATCACAGACATTAAGTCTCACTTCTGCTACACATAAAGTTAAACAATCGATAAGAACTAGAGGGCCATCTATGTACTGTAGAAAAACGATCCTAGGCTATACTTGGAAGTTGCAGGTCTTGCTTAACTAACTTAAGAACTATTATGCCTGCAGAGACTTGGAGTTGCTACCCTGCTAAACAAGTACATATTCACTGAGGAGTCAACAATCAAGTATCAGCATAGAAGAGGGAAAAGTCTTAACTGAACTTAGGTAACTGAAGCACTAGAGATGACCAAATCTGAAGCCACCAGCTGAACTCTTCCATCACTTGCTTAAGACAGGGGTAGCACCCATGGGCTGGAGAACTGATAATGCAGTGTCCATCAATTCCAAAACAGAACTTCGTAATTATGTACGCATATGGAAAAAATTAGAACTACATTAAGGGATCTTTTTTATGGAAAGCAGGTACTAGGGAATTGTCAACATGGATTTAGGAAAGAGCTAGGTCTTGCCTAACCAACTTATTACAGATCATTGAATAAGAAACAACATTAATAGAAACACAGAGCATACAATACAGTATATTCCGATTTTTTTAAGGGTTTTGATAAAGTTCCTCTTATGGATAATGGATCAAAAACATTATATGCACCAATCTGGGTGATCCAGTTTGTGGAGTACAACAGCGATCTATGTTGGGATCTATATATACACATAGATGTACATTCTGCTGTAGAGTGAAAGTGAGAGTAAGAGTGAAGTTTTCACATGATACCAAAAAACACTAAGAAAAAATTCCATAAGATCAGCAAACACTACTAATGGATATAGTGCAAAGAAATTCAGGAGTGGGCAAACACCTTGCGGGTGATGATTAAGGTAGACAAAAGCAGTGTATTACATGCAGGAAGTAAAAAGTACAAAAAAAAAGATATGGGGAACACTGAGCTTGAAGAAGCTAGATATGAAAAAGACTTAGGTGTTTATAGTGACATTTATATATTTTAGACAACATGGCAAGCAATAAAAATAGGCAATGTTAGAATATACTGTACTGTATTTCAGTATACAGTATACTGATATACTGTATAGTTAAATGTACAGAATTTAAATTAAGCAGGTTGCTAATAAAATTGACAGTGCATTAGTAAAAATGATTTAGACTATTTTCAACAATTTTGGTGAGCACTTTACAAAAATACATTGCTGTCTTGTAATAATTTCAGAGAACAGCAATCGGATATATTCCTGGGCATTAAACTGACTGGCTAAAAGACATTGACCTTTATAGTCTTAAATAGAGAACACTATAAAGAAGTCTTGTTCACCCTTTTCAAACAAAAATAAGTACTGCAGGAAAGTCAGGACTTCCAAAAACGTAAGCTCTCACTTACCAACATCCATAGCAGTTTCCATAAAACTCTTCTGCCGGGAAGCAAATTCAGCAAGTAGCTTCTGTTGTCTCTCTCTGGCCTTCTGCCGTCTGAGTTTTACACAGCAAAAAAGAAAGGTTTACGTTAGAATAAAAGACTCAGTATCAAGCAGACTTGTATTGGTTGATAACCATTTCAGTAGTTTTCAATTTAGCTCATAATACATGGATACTTCAACTTCAGAACTTGTTTAAAAATCCCTAGGGACTGTTTCTGATTTGTTTTTGCTTTAAAATAATACACAAAGACCTCTAGAGCTACTAAGGATCTGCAGGCCTCACCTACTGTGGCTAATGTCAGTGGTTGTGTGTCAACCACTGAGAAACATTTGAACGAGAGTGGTTTTCATAGCCAGGAAGAAACCATCATTCTCTAAAAATCACATAGCCACCTGTCTCAAGTTTGCTAAATCACACGTGGGTGATCTACAAGACCAGGAGAATACCTGAAGAATGTTCTCTCTATGGGTGAATCTAATATCGAACTATTTGACCACGAGGAGAAACATTATGTGTGGCAAAAACCACACACTGATTTCCAACAGAAGAACGACACCCCAGTGTCAAACACGGTGGTGGGATTATCGTGGTCTGTGGCTGCTTTAGTGCCCCAGGACCCGGATGGCTTGTCATCAAAGATGGAACCATGAATTCAACATTGCGTCGGCAAATTCTGGAAAAGGATTGCAGGTAATCCAAACATCAGCTGAAGCTGAGCCAAAAGTGGGTCTTGCAGCAAAACAATGATTTAAGCATATAAGCAGACCTACAACACACTGTGTGTAGAAGAAACTTCATGTTTTGGATTGGCTAATCCAAATCCAGACCTAAACCCCACTGCGATGTTATGGAAAGGCCTGAGGGAAGCTGTTCATAGATGAAAACTCTCACATTATTCTGACAGTTCTGTAAGGAAGACTGAGGCCAAAATTAATAGAAGTCAATGCGAGAGACTGATAAATAGGTACTGGAAATGTCTATCTGAAGTCATGGCTGCTCAAGAAGGTGCCACCAGTATCTAAATCTAAGGGTTCACATACTTATTCAGATATGGATATTAACTGCTCGACCATTTTGTTACACAATACAAATAGACCTTGTGGCTTTGTATTATACATTAACTTCATCTATTAAGACTTTCTGGAAAATCTCATTACATTTTTAAACTAAAATATACAAGTATACGCATACAGTATGGAACTGGGAGAGCTCACGCATTTTGTCCGCAGTGTATCTCCTCATCTGCAAGTGATTTGATGTAATTTTATTACTTTCATCTTACCTATAGAACATACTTCAGAAAGTGGGATTTTTAAAGTAGGAAACATTTAAGGTAAAACAGCCCTATTTTTTCTTTGAACGCTTACGGAAAAATGTTGATGACCAGGTGTGCTCATTTTTGGTTAAGTTAGATTTCCTCAAAAGAATCCCTTTAAGATGAAAGTGTTAACCCAGAAATGCATCTCCATGGTAACAACACAGTGGGTAAGAGACCCTTGTAAGAAAGACTGCTCAAATCAGGAGAAAAGACAGCATTTAAAAAATGAGCTATTTCAGCCTGCTCTGAAAATTGAATGCCCTGTGTCAGCTGCAGTGAAATGATTAGCTTCTCATATGCTCATGTAAATTGGAAATGTATAGAATTCAACAAAAATATCACTGAAAATAGTGTTACTATTTATGTAAAATTTGTCTTCCACCTAGCCGTTTCCTAACTACTAAAATGTTCTTGCTTCATTTTCATTTGTGCACTTAGAAATGCAGGAATTTAAATGATTTTCTTCAGCCTCTTAGGCCAGAGACAAATGTGTTTAAAACAGAATGGACTTTGTTGTCTTTTTAATGTAGTGCACTAGGAAGGATAGGGAGGCGATTTTAGTAGTATTAAAATTAATTTTGCTTTAGAAAAGAGAAAATATCAGCTTAAGTGCAAGTACAAAACTATGTTTGAAAGATGAGCCAAAATGTAGGTTTAATCATATTTTGAGAAACGCAATACAAGCAAAATGGCACATGACTAAAAGTATTATCGGTTTGAAAAAAGCCCCTCTTGGCTTTTCACAGCTCTTGTTTTCCAGACGTCTCTCTCTTTGGCCCTGGCTATGGCTCAGATAAACCAGGCTTGACTGTAAATAGAGACCCCTAATAAGAAGACATAAACAAAGTCTGACAGGTCCAGTGCAGCTCAGTAATTTTCACTGACAGCTTAAGAGGCAGAGACACTAAGCCTGAAAAATATCACGAGTGATTCTGATTCTCTTGCATTGCCGGATTGCAGTTTCTATAGCAACGGCCTATCTAGTGGGAGATGCTACCTTTGTCTTTGTCTGCAGGTCGAGTCAACCAAAAATAGGTCATCATTGAGTGCTTATAGCCTATTCGATCTTCATTACAACAGACCAGGACTTGAAAACAAAATAAGAAATGAGACGAGCTCATGTGAGCAGCATTCCAGTATCAGATTAGATTAATCTTCATTATTAGACTGTCAGAAATTCTCTGATATTAGTAAATGTGTTTATGGAATATCAAATGTCATCCTTCATGTTGTTGGGAGTTATTGCAAAAGATCATCAAATCATCTCAATGACAAAGATGTCTTCCACTGTATCTAGATATGAAAACCTTGCTGCTATTTGTACAAGAAATATAATTTTTTTTAATGTTCATCATAGCACTGCATACATCCACTAAACTGTCATTACGGCACAAAAAGGGGAGACTTAAATTTCATGAGACTGCACTTTCGCCAGAGACTGAGGTCACGTCACATACAGCAGGACATACAGCAAGTGAACTGACTCAACGGTTTAAGAAGCAACTACAAAGCAAGAAGCTACAACTTGCTTCTGTTTTAATATTCAGCACGTATAATAAACAAATATTTTGAATTGTTATTTTAGAAAGTGATGGGATTCGGATAATATTCTAATAATCCGATTACCCATGCTAACTTTGTGCAGCCATTGATGGTGCACTTCAAGAAGTATTAACTGATTCATTGAACTCGCACGGACTGCTTGGAATCATGATGCACCTACAGCCTGCAACATGTTATTTTTGAACACTTCACAGTAACTATCCAGGGTCTTCCCTGGTTCCAACTCAGCAGCAGGTCAACAAAGCACATACCTCTCCTCCTTATCCAGCGTTTTTTTGTCAACTGGGCTGTTTTTCTTAGGAGGAACAGGTGGTGAAATCTTCCTGCAGATCTCCTGAATGCTGCGCTTATTCTGGCGACTCCAGATTGCAGCTTTTGTCAAGATGCGCTCAATTGCAGTGATGCCATCGCCGTGGGTGTACTTTGTGGAGTCAAGCTTTACAAAAGCCTCTGGGTCATCCAGCCAGGGGGGGTGGAAAGAGTTTTGTTTCGCTGACAGTTTGTGGTGTAGTTTTATCAGCAGGGACAGCATGCTTTCACGGATCTCCAAAATCTCAGTGACAAGCTGCGGAGTGGAGCCTGGGGGGATCCATTTTGTTGATGATGATTTGGGGCGCACAGCTTGGCTTGCCTCTCCACTGCTGCGGTTAATGATCTCCTGAAACTTCCTCCTGCGCTCAGCCACCAGGCTGAAAACCTGAGCCGTCCTCAGAGTCTAGGGGAAAAACAGAAACAATGGAAAGGGAGCTCTTTCTCAGACAGGTCTTAATTTTACAGCCTACCATGTTTCGTTCAATGTTTTCTCAAAAATGAATTACCTTATACCACCTTTATATCACCTTTGTACTTATGTATATTATAATTTAATGACTAATGTAAAGATCTGCTCCCTATGTTGTACAAAACGGCATGAAATAATGTAGTGATTACTTGATATGTGAGAAGAAAAAATGTTTTTGGCCCTATAATAGCTTCGAGGTTTCACAGGGTTTTTTTTTTTAAGCCAGACGACGCTGACAAATCACAGGATGAGTGAGAATCATGAGGGTGGCACTTCAGTGTGGCAGTCTAAAAACAAGGGCACATAACCAGAGGGACTCCGAAAACGTACTCTCGGTGACATTCAGAAATTATGTGCAGACAAAGTATGTCCCACTTCCACTACATGCATACAAACCACCACATAGATTGTGTTTATGTATTAAGGGAGCCAGCACTGTAAAATGGTATGACTAATTACCAAGCACAGCAGCCTTCGTTCAAATTCTAATGTGAAGATTAAAAATAATACAAAAAAAAAATTTGTATCATAATGGTTTAATAATTACACCTCTGAAATATCTCCACTGGGTAGCTCAGCATCAAAATATTCCTCCAATCACCAAATTCAATGCAGTATTAATCATTGTGACATGCTGTTAAAGGTCAGAAATATACCTAACACTTAATTAGTTTTAGCATTCAATAAGCAGAAAGCTTACAAGACCACACTATACTGAAAAAGGCAATCCTGTAATACAATGTTGAAGCAGCAAAAAATGCAATAACACACACAATTCACTTTGTTTAGGGTACACGTGGTAAGATGCTGAAGGGAATATTTCAAGAAAATCTGTCATCCCATTACAGAACTGTACTTTCATGCTTATTTCCAGCCCTATTAATTATGCTGAAAGTCTGACACATGCACAGCTACCTCTCGCTGAGGGCCAGCCATTTGCCTGGAGGTCTGTGAGTCAAAAGAAAACATTTAAGCGCTTGAAGGAAAATATAATAACCTTTTCTGTCAGAGTCAAAGTCGTACATTAAAAAAAACAGAGTACAATATCTGTTTATATAGTTTTATCTGAAGCATCTTACAAAAAAGAATCAAGTATCCAAGTAAAAAATAAAATAATGCTGCTATTAGAAAATACTGTTAGTTTGGATCTTAGTTTAGTTCTTAAAAAATAACATTTTCAGTTTAATTTCTCTTTGATAAAATTTAAAGTAAAGAGCATCACAACTCAAAATGTCGGTACTGAACTAAGTTTAGGTTTAATCATGTAACCTTCCATTTTTATTAACTATGTGATGTTTACCTTTTGTATTCATTGACAAGACATTTTGTTATTGAAAACTTATCTATTAACCTCTTTTGTAACTGTCTCCAAATCTTTCCCTAAGGAATTCAATATCATAGCATTTTGTTCATGAACACTAACAATTCTAGGACATCTGCATAAAACCTGGGTCGACCACTGTTACACGTGAATACCTTCCTTACCAAGCCGTTATGACAAATATTGGCAGTCCATATTTTGTAAAGGACATTACACGTTCTAATGGCAATCTGAATTTATTTGGTGTTAAGCGAAAAAATGCAAGTTCAATTAATCTGTCATCTTACATTGATCCTTATATGGCACAACATGTACATACTACACTGTAAGCAATGAGTCATATCATGTTGGGTTGTTTTCTAAATATAACCATGACATCCATGCCTTTGAATATTCAGCTATTGCATTGTGTTTTTTATAGCTATAGAGGGCTCCCTGTGAAATGAAATGAGGACAGTCAGCAGTGCAATCAACGAAATTTCATCTGCCACAGACTAGAAGGCAACAGCTAAGCAGGTGTGACAAGAAATTGATTGAGCGGCTGCCACCAGTTTCCAGCAGAGACAAGCAAGCACTACTGAAAAGGGTCAATAGAATGAAAAATCCTGGCAATTATTCCATCCATCCATTTTCTAACTGCTTCTTCTTCCAATTCAGGGTTGCATTTCCCTGCAAGCAATGAGTGCAAGGCAGGGGCACATCCTGGACAGGACGCCAGTCCATCGCAGGGCACACACAGACACACACACCCACACCAGGGCCAATTTCCCTAGAAGCCAATTAATAAATTGGACTGTGGGAGGAAATCAGAGCACATGGAGGAAACGCACATGAACATGGGGAGAACATACAAACACCACACAGACAGAAGCCCAGGCCAGGTGTTGAACCCGGGGACCCCAGTGCTGCAATGCAACCATTCTAGCCCACTGAGCCACCCCCTAGCAATTAATTTTCTATCAATCAGGATTTGAAAAGTAAATAACATTTATCCAAAAGAGTCGATAACCCCTTTTCTAACAAAGGAAATGTATGTTGATTTGCAAGACCAAACGAAAAGGGTCCAGAACTCAGAAGAAGGTTCTTATACTGACCTGGGCAAAGAGAGAAGGGTCAGAGCTTGTGGTAGCGGGGGGCTCCCTCTTGACTTCGGGGGCAGTCTCTGGCACCCTTACTCTCACGTAGTTGATGACATGATTCAAGTTGGATACCAAGTTAGTGCCAGGGAACCAGCTGTCATGACAGTGCTCCTCAATGCAGGGCTCCTAAATGAAACCAGAATGAACGCCAGTGATGAGAACATTTTCCAAGATGCTGTGCTTGACCCCTTTTGGGGAAGGAGTTTTGAACGACTTCTCTCCTCTTCCCCAGGAGTTGAATTTGAATGTACCAGTTCTGCCATTATATATTCTACAATTTATATAAAGCATGTTTGTAAAACACATGTCTCCTCTATACTCGCGTGTACAAGCATAGGGCTTCGCATTCAGGTATTAATAACCGGAATTAGAAGAGGCTACTTATGAAAAAGACATGGGTGTTCATGTTGACATATGATTTTTTATCTTTGATCTTGAGAAGGAATCAAAAAGGAGAACTTAAATCAAGGAACATTATGTTAAAACTGTACAATACATTAGTCAGGCTTCATGGGTCACAATGTTACAAAAAAAGATATCACTGCTCTGGAGTCAGACCAGAGAACAGCAACCAGATGCATTCGAGGGTTTAATGCACTGTCCTACACTGACAGGCTGAAAAAAACAACAACTTTTTTTTTTTTTAGTCTTGAACAGAGAAGACTATGAAGTGACCTGATAAAAGCATCCAAAAGCCTCCAAGGCACTGAAAGTCAACACAGTGGACTTTTCCGTAATGAACAGTGAGTCACAAACCAGGGGACACAAATGGAAACTTACAAAAGTGCATCTAACACCAAGAACAGGAGGCATTTCTTAACCCAAAGGGTAGTGGGAGTACGGAACAAGCTACCCATCCAGGTAACTGCCTGAAGCAGATACCTTAGCCTCTTTCGAAAAAAACATCTGAATGAGGCACTTAGATCAATTAACTACTAACAGGCTAGATGGGCCAAATGGTCTCCTCTCACTTGTAACTTTTGTTATTTTCCTGATTACAAATTCTCACTGCTTTACATCTCATAAGAGCTTTGAAAACCTATCATACCTGAAATTTAGGATTAACAGGTAAGCACTTATTGTTCTAAATTGAACAGTTAAACTCAGAGCAATGCCACAGTTCCACATTACAGTCAAGAGCATTGGCTCATCAGTGATGCCCAAGACTGAAATTTAATCATGCAGCATTTACTTAGACATGAAGTGAAATGAGGAAACACTATGGAATGTTCAGAGAAACATCATTCCAGTTTTTAACTTAAAAAAATTAAAACCTATTCTAAGAAAGTCTAACACAGAATAATACTCACAATAACAAACATTGAATATATGTTTTCACCAATTCAGATTTACAGGCGTTAACTGGAAGACAAGTTAAGTTATACTCTAGTAAAGAAGAACGCTTTATTCCTTTAAGTAAATAAAAGTACTTCCTTAGATTAAAATGGAGAACTTTCTGCCAGTGCAATCTTTCAATGAACCCTGCAACATCACAAAGTCAAAGCTGCTTATGTAAGAATTGAAAAGACTGCACCTATTAACAAAGGCTGCAGGAAGGAAGTAAAATTGATTGGCTGTGCAGTTCAATTTGATTGGACTAGCTTGGAGAGCCTGTCTGAGCAGGACATTGTCAGGCTCCATTGGTAAAATAGCTTGGGGACTGCACCTGCCTCTGTGTGCTCAATTACAAAATCGCCACTCAAAGCCACCTGCAACGAGCGCCCGAGGAGACAAAGGCTGATAAAAAGAGATCTTTAATGCTCAGGTACTGGGGCATTCACAGAATGAAGCAATTTCATTCTTCCCAGACAGAAGAATGCAAAGAAAGGAAAAAAAATCTGCTATTTTTACAAGCTAATTTAAAATGTAATTTTACACATTTCAACAGTCTAAATAAAAGAAAAATCTAAACCTAATGGACTGGGTTTATAAGGAGCTCTCCAGTGAATTGTAATGTCTGGACCAGGTGAAATATTGTGCATGGTTTGATGCAAGCATTAGTGTCTTTAATGGACACACCAAAATGAACGTAAAAGCTTTTATACAAAGAAGGTCTCATGTCCCTTATTGTTGTTCTTTAAAGCACAGATTAAAACAAAGGATGCTAAAACATGTTACATGACAACATCTTGAGATATTTTATACAAAGCTTGTTATTTAGATGGACGTCGCTGTCCACTGAAAGTCCATCTCTGAAAGAGCGGGTCGGCATTGTGCATCCCAACACCCCCTACCTCTTCCTCGTGCTCCTCCTGCAGCGTGTTATCAAGGCCCAGCTCAATCAAATACAACACCATGCAAAGCACATGTTCTGACATGTTTGGATGGTCTGCTGAGATCTGAAAACCACAAATTAAAAAAGGCAATTAAAGTATTTTCTTTTAATTACCAAAAACCCAGCAGCTGCAATTTCTGCTTGACCTTATTGTTTCATTAACTTAAAAAAAAAAACATTTGTTAAATTTACCATTACTAATAAGCTATTTTATCTTGTATTATCTATGTACATTTCCATAACTAGCAATTCTGAAAATGTTTCCCCATCTGACATAACATACCAAAAAAGAAGTTTGTTTTACTACAAAAAAAATATTTTTTGATTTTTTTATTTCACCCATGTCTAATGAAGCTCACCTTTTTAATTTCATAACAAAGCATTTAAATAATACAGAGATTAATAGACAATGACCAATTAATTGCATTCTACTTTTTAAAGAAAGGGCTTGCTTTCATATCCAAAGCCTGGACACGTTACCTTGTACAGCAGAGTGAATAGCACGATGTGCAAAGTTTTGCAGTGCAACAGCCGAATAAGGCCTTTGTAACAAGGATGTAGAGGTGTTCTCTCTTTGTAAGGAGGCCATGGATTTCCTGAAAAGATTCCAGACTGTTTCAAGCTGACAGGGGAAAAAGGGGGAAAACGTCAATATATTTTTTAAGCTTACATGGTAGCTTTGTGTGGTTTTTAAAGAGTAAAGATGCTGCTGTGCTTTCGGTTATAATTCTAGCATTTCTACTGCATCTGTATCTATTCCACAGTAACATGTCTTCAAATGCAATAAGCTGCAAGATTCCTATCACTTTTGAAACATCAAAAATAGACGTTATGCTTTCTAAAATGTGTCTTTCTTTAATAATAATCACAAAAAAAAACAATGCATGAAAAATAGTTGCGTAAGTGAATGAGTTTGCAAAATATTGGTACATTTCTTTGACAGTACTTTGACAGTTGAATAAACCAACAGATTTTTTGGTTAATTATCCAGAAGCACGTTTTTTTGTCCAATGTTAAAAACCATCCAAGGCTCAAGGGACTAGTCCACTCTATTTGCTATCAAATTGTTCCTGAATAATGGAATTACATAATATTTAGTCAGGCTGACAGGTAATTCATCAAATTCAACAGTATGTTAATGCCGTTTAAGTGAGCAGTCACAACCTAGGCTTAAAAAAAAGTAAGCTTCAGTTCTTGACAAGAAATGTTTCAAACTGCCAATTTCACAGTTTAGGATTTTCCTTGCTAAATTCTGACATCAGTTTCAGATACAGGAAGGGAAAACCAGTTCCTTAGGGAATTCTAAGAGCAAGACACTTAATTTTACTTCAGAACTATAAAATGAAGTCAAATATTCTACAAAATGAAGGAACTTCTCACACATAGGGTTTCAATGCCTTTAGCCAAGACACAGATTATAATGTTATTCATGAAATTCAGATAATATTATGTTTTCACCTCAATTTAGATATTTGTCATGATGTCTTCAAAATGTATTCAGTCATGGAGAGGTTTCCAAGAGTTTGTTAGGTTAGGGTTGAAATATGAATTGTGGTTTATACTATACTAATTGAAGCTAACCATATCACAATCGTCTCACCTCTATGTGCAAACACTTCCAAGGGCAAATTTAGATTCTACTCTGAGCAAAACTCACATTATTTTGGGCATGTTACCATATGGGGCAAAACCCCACATTTTTCACCCACTGCTTTGCAAAAATTGAAATGTACAAAACACTTTGCCATGTACTGACCTATCTTTTAAAAAATCTGCATGAAGTTTAGAACACAAATATATGAGAACAGTTACAAACAAGTGATGCTCATTTGCTTACTAGTATTTAATTGATGAAAGGATCGTTTTGTTAAAGCAGCCAGACTATCATCTTCTACAATACAGTTGGGGAGCTTGTTCCAGACTCCCACAACACTTTGTGGGGAAAAAAAATGCTTTGTGTTCTCAGGTACAATAGATTCAATTTAATTAGAAAATAGTTTTAATTTTAGAATCTGCAATGCCAAATCTATCGCTTGTAAATTAAAGACTGACCTTTGATCAAAATAAATGAATAAGGTGATAGATATTCAAGTGATAACATTCTGTAAGTATTTTATATACATAAAAAAAATATTTTAGTATTTACAAGCATATTGTTGATATGCAAAGCAGTAGCACATTTTAGTCTTTTTTTTTGCATCATCACAGAATGCTCTTGCAGCTGACCACTTACAATGCTGAATATCTGTCCATTGCAGACTGCACATCTCTGCGGTAAACTGTTCTGAGAATAACCATGATGGGGTCAAATTCTTTTTCCCAGACTTCAGCTAGAAAATAAATCCAAATCATTAAGCAAAGATGGCAAAGAACAGTCACATTCAATTGTGTTTTGTACCTTTTTCTTCAGCAGAATTGAAATACTGAAATATGGCAGTAGTGTGCCCTCTAGTGGCACAAGTAAGAAGGAGAAAATCAGGGACAGCTAATGCAATCTACAAATCAAAATATGCAATATAATTTTGCACAATTTAAGGAATGAAAAACTAAAGCAAATCTTTCACTATACAAGGAAACTATTTTTATAAACTCTTTTTTAGTTTATAGTTTGTTTCTAGAAAATATGATGACATAAGAATGAGGAAATATTGGGTTATAGACAATTTATTAGTACAAAATACCGCAACAAAACATTTCGCCATTTAAAATTATCGTATTGTTAAAACATATTTTGATTTCTGCTAGTGGATGACGTGGTCTGACCTAAAGTAGTGGAGCCGCTGTACTTAAATTGAAAACTGTCAATCAACTAGATCATTATTGCTTATTTAGATAAACCATGAAAAGGAGCACCAGATTTTTTAATTTAACCGCAGCTCAGTTACCGTTTGTGATTTAACTTTTTACAAAACAAGTTATAATTTTATGATGGTATTTTGTGTACTGCAAAGCAAATTTTGGAAGGAAGTAAGCCTAGAAATATCTAATTTACATTACAGAGAGGAATAATTCCTGCTGACATCTCCAGAGAACTTTCTTAGTTATACACTATGAACATTACAATATAATAATACTTATACCATTAACAGGTCATGCACAAGGCTTTCTCAAATTTACACCCACCATCTCGTTTTCTTTTCCATATATAAAGAGCTGTCCATTCACCGCAACCATTTTATTGCTAAAAGGCTATGGAAAGCCAAAGCCTAACATGGCGGCATGTACTAATATAAATACACAGCAAATACAGATACAATGCAAGGAGAGACCACACCCTGGTAGGTATCCACACATGCATTGCCACACAGGACAATTCAGAACACCAATTAACCAGCGCAGCACATCTCTGAAGCGTGTGAGGTATCAGAGAGATCCCACTTGGACAAAAACACCACACGGAAGGTTCTCTAGGCCAGAATCTAACCCAGGAGCCAAGAGGCATCAATTCTAACTTTTAGCCCAAAATCAGTGGATATAGCAGTTTAGAAAATGGATGGATGGAAAACACTAAGCACAGCTGCACTGATGAGTTAATTGGGTATTTCCAGTTGGAGATAATGAAATGGACTACGAATGGCAGCACCAGAAGACTGGTTTAATGTGAAAGAGTTCATTGCCTACTCCAAAGGGGCTGTAAGGTGGAGCACGGAGACAAAGAACAAATGATTCATTGTAGGCAGAGCAAAATTTAGGCAAACCTTTAACCCCATCTACAGGCTACTAGAGGAAATGACACAATGAAACAGTGACAAATTGTTAGTTTACATTTTTCACACAGGCACATGCTGAAAAATAATGTAAATGCCGATAATTACTTTCCATATGCATTCCTAAGTATAAATACACTCCAAGTAAATGATTTCTTGTAAAATCCAAAATGTTATTCTTTTAACCAATTAAAATAATTTAAGATTTTATCTTAAATAACCAGTTTTATTACCTTACATGTCTTTTTGCAAGACAAACAGCTTGCAACAGATTCCAAATTCAGATATTTGATACAATCAGCTTAGCTATTTGACTGAATTCATTAGCAATTTCATCAACCAATTAAAGACCTATTTTGCTCAAATCCTGCATTGCAATGGATTGTAAGGACTTTTTTGGACATTCCCTACCCAAGACATCTCCTAATCAACGTTACAAACTTGTGTTTTATATTGCAGATGTCTTCTCAATTTCTTTAACTGGTCACAAACTGAATCGGAGATCTACCTTTATTCTTCTCTCCAAGTACAATCAGGATAGGATTAAGAACTTGCGTTGAGTTACAGTAAGAGCTAAAATCTAGATAAGGGATATGGCAAGGGTAAATGAAATTGAATTTCTGGGTTTGGGGAAAGTTAGGTTTGGGAGTGTTAAGAACTGGTCTAGGTATTAGACTTAATGATATGGTTACAGCCCGTGGTGTGAGCTAGTTTTATGGCTTTGGCTGGGTTTAAAAGTAAAGACAGGTTTACACATAGAATTAGGATTAGAGAAAAGGTTCAATTTAAGGCTAGGGTTAGCGAAGTCTTAACCTGAGGGCCAGAGTTTGTTTTAATCATATTTTTAAAACAAGATGAAGACTCTGAAATGACACTTGGGTATGGCCAAGTATGTACACTACAACAAAGAGGTCTCAGACTCCAGCACGATTACCACCAAGCATTAAGAAATTTAATTTACCCTTACATTTACCGCTAAAGGTTGTTAAGAGTTGTTAATCTTTTCATGTTTTCACAGAAATACAATTTCTGTATTGATACCAATTCTTCCCATTTGGTTACTGAAAAGTAAATTTTAAACTAATACCAAATGCATTATTATTATTATTATTATTATTATTATTATTATTATTATTATTATTAAATGCAGTCCCTGCAAGTAACACTGGAAATCTAAAGATCCTGGTTTTATTATAATTTAAAGAAGCTGATTTTAAGATAACAGAAGTCCTGCTGGTAAAGAGAAGTGCAGTCTGTGTGGATGTAGGTGTACGTGCTTACCTTTAGGTGTGTACATTCCCTGCTGCATTGAACCTCCAGGCTCAAAAACGGGAGCTTTAAAATCAGCAACGGAAGAAAGCATTGCTTCAAAGCTGTAACTGCCTGGAACAATCCCACTTTTGGGATTTGGATTTTCTGGGATGTCGATATATTGTTAAGAATAACAGTGCATCATCAATAAATTAGGGCAGGAGGCTTGCCCTGAATATTGAATAACAAATAATGTAACCCCATCAACGAAAACTCTAAAGTACAGTAAATGCAAGATGAAAAGCTAGGGACTGCAGTGATTTTAGTGTTCTTGTACGAAAAATATCTTTGAAAAGAGAGATCTATGCAGAACAAAAAAACAACTTGGAAGCAAATATTTTAAAGGTAGATATAAAATATAAGTATAATTATCTTTTGGGCTTGATTGTTTTGAACAGAAAAGAAAAATCCCATTAAAGAAAGGATTAATTGGATATCTACGGAGCCCATAACTGGACATGGTGTAATTTTTTGTAAGCAATCTGGTGCGCACCAGATATTGTTTCTGGTTTACAGAACATACTGCCTAACTGAATATCTCCTGTCTTCACATGCAAACCATTTTCTTGACATTTTGCGTGCATCCATCGGTAGCCATGAAGCCCACCTGAACTTTGCATTTGGCGCTGAATAAATACGATAATTTAGTCTAAGTTGCTGTACCCCTTACGATGAAATAGACCCTTAAACTTCAAAATACATTTTAAAGCCTTTCGATGATAAATGTATCCATGACGACAGGCAAGAACAAAGGTTATGTTTGTGTTTGAGACCTAGCTGAAAGTATACTTGTATAAACTCGCCAATTTCCATTTTTCTAGAATGTAACTCTTTAAGATAGAGCTATTAGGCAGTATTTCTGTAAACCGGGAACGATATATGGTACGCGCACGATAGTATCTGGTGCCCACCTGAAAATGTCTGGTACGCACGCAAAAGTTTCACCTGATCAATCACCAGATTGCTTCCAAAAAGAAATTACACCATGTCCCCTTAAGGGCACCGTAGATATCTATGGAAGCCCGTTTCCGCCAGGGAGTAAAAAAAAAAACGCGCTATGGTATCTCAGAATTGCGACTTAGCAAGTCAGAATTGCGACTTAGCAAGTCAGAATT